TGTTGCATTCCAAAAACGAATTAAGAGTAGATTTTACTTCTTAATATAGAATTTTTATTGAATAATGTTTATTGATTATTATTGATATAAATTTCTAGTGCCTATAATCTTTAGTTTTTTACTAAATAAAATAATACAGTGCACATGGTTTAACAAATTAATTATATACTGTTTAAAGTAACAACAATATTTTTTGTTGTACAGTATTTTGGATATTTTTAACTAGAAAATTATTATTATTCAAAGCACCTCTTCAGATAAATATTATTATCTGTCACATATATACATATTATTATAATATAACAACTGAATCTAATAGATTTTTAAACTATTTCTTTCTTTTATCCGCTTTCTAAACCATATTTTTTTAGTGGACAGTTTCTATTTCTAACTGTCTTTTGTCTTTTAAATGCTTTTAAAATTAATTTAATTTTGTTCATCCAATTGGACATATGATTTTTTTGTATTATAAGCAAGTCTGACATTATTATTAGTATCGGAATTTTAACTTGCAGAGTTTTTAGGAATTTTAATTTTCTTTGTGTTTTCAATAAGGCCATTTTGATGTTGAGTTTTAATAGATGTCGCAGTACTCTATTGTATATTATTGTACTCTTTTGTCAAATGAGACGAATGAAACTTCAAAAACGGAATGTTATAAAAATGTGAAATTGAGTTGAGAAATTTGTCTATATGGCTACGTTACTAAATCAAAAAGTTAGTGAAAAAAAGGATAAATATATTTAAAACAAATAGAGCTAGTTAAGAATTCACGAGAATTTTATTGCGTGTTTAAACGAAACTCTTATCAAAACATACGGATTATTATGTTTATATTTTTTATGTAACGTAAACAAAATCTTATGAAAATATATGATATTTAATGATATAATAGAGAAAGTACAGTTTTTGTATTCTTTGTCGGGGAAAAAAATTGATGTGTTATTTTGTTTCGGTCATTTTACTATATTAACAAATATTAAAAAATTAATCTTTAAAATATTAACTATTTATACTCAATATATCATTTAATTAATAACAGTAATAATAAAAATTTAGTATAAACATTAAAGAAAATATTGATATTCTTATTTTACTGCGAAAACACTAATATCCTAAATTATCACATGGTTTACAAAAATACAATATACAATATTACCATTGTACGTATTAGAATTTAATCCTCGAGTATGCCCATTATAATAATTTCTAAAATTAAAAAACTTTCGAAAAATATTTGCAATTAAATCATCCGTGGATTTTAAATGCAAGTGCATTAAAATATTAATGAAAATTATTTGAGATATTTTATAATGGACATTGACACCGATTGTCTTATGAAAATTCTCTATTGCTTTATGAATCCGGCTGGACATTGTTGAAATGTAATTTGCTTCGGATATAGTTGAATAGTATAGTAAATATGCATTAGGTAGCCTCATTAGTGATAATATTTTAATTCAGCTTTAAATAAAATAGCCCTTATAAGTAGATTTCAAAACGTAGTTAAAGATATTATTTAATTGATACATATATTTAATTGAAAATACATTTAATTTTGATGCATACTAACAGATGACATTTTAATGCAAAGATAATTTATTGAAACCCATTAGAAATAATGTAGACTAATTGTACATAAAATCATCGTCTTAAATGACAAATTATTATTGAAATAGAATTTGCATATGTATACCAAATAATTGTATTTTATTTTTTTAAAAAAAACTACCTGTGTATAGTTATAAATTAAAGTTAATAAGAGTTTTTAATAAATCTCTGTATTACATAATTTCACATAAAATTAATTAAGTATTTGTAATTTAATTGTTACAATTTATTTTATAAAAGTAGGTTTTGAAAAATAAATAGCTTAGATTTATACACCAATGATTGTCATTCCATGATGATTACTTTCAATGTCAAACATATTTATTACTTTGGAAAATTATACAGATATTTATGATTGCTTATTTTTTAGTTTTTTTTTTTTTTTTTAAACACTTTTTACATAATATTTTATGGTTTTTTTTCTCTTAAATTAATTTGTTTCTCCTTGCATTTCCAATGATAATACGTATATACCTAATAGTCAATACATATTTTTCATAATTATGGTTCGTATTTGTAATATTTCGGATACAGAAAATAAAAATAATGGGTTTCATAGAGTAATAAATGAGTACGCTTTTAGCAATTCATTGTTGTGGGGTGAATCGTGAATATATTACAATTTAGTTTTATGTAATAGCATGATTATACTCAATTTATTTTTACGATTCACATTATTAAAGTAAAATCGATCCAATGGTATTAGATGCTAAATCATCTTCTGTTTAAACATTTAAAAGATCCGTATTCAATTAAATATATATATATATATATTATAAATATAACTTTCGATAGCGAATAAATGTAAATAGTTGTTTTGTATATTCAAAATTAATAAACTATACAGATCAGTCCAACGGTAAGAATTCAAGTGCTTTTTATAGTATAGATACTATATTGATAGTAGTATACTGATACGATGGATGTAAGTATCTGATACTAATGTTGTATTTCGGCACTTTTTGAGCATCAGAGACTATGTGAAAAACTTTTTTCTATTAAAATTTTAATAATTTAAAATGATTGCTAATAGAATAATATTATCCTCCTCTGAAAGAATCTAAATTACACAACCATTTACAGAAATGGCGATTTATTAAATTCTTTTGGTTAACTTAATTGCTTGAACATTAGGAACGTGAGAGATGCGTTTCTATTATTTTTAAAAAAATAAATTAATACTTTGCATATTTAATGAACTGTACAAATATTTGTTTCGATTAGAATAGATCGGTTTTCCGTATCTACATACAAGAAGCTTTAGAGCTTAAAATCGACTTGAACTATTTAAACTTTTTTCTTTTATAAACAGTTATAAATTTATCGATGTGGAATTGGATTGTTCAATTATATTTAAAGTATCCAAAGTTTTTCGTTATAGTAGTTTACGATAAGACAAAAATGGAACAATAATTGATAGGTGATATTTTATGGAGCTCATAATTATTCTTATAATTAGTCATGTACCTTTAGAATTTTAGTTATAAAAATTTAATGAAATATAACTGATTAGATGACTGATATTATACGCTTCGAATCATAACTGGTGAAAAACGACAAAGTTTAGTTTTCAATATTTCCTTAGCAGCAAAAACCGTAAAAAAAAAAAAAAAAAAAAATTAAAAAAAATAAAATACAAAGTAAACAATTTTTTTTTTGAGTAAATTATACTTAGTTTATAAAAAATTACGTTAGTTAATAAATATGGTATTGAAGAAGTTAACCTTGTGAAAATATAAGAATTCTAGAAGCGAATAAATTAATTAATTGAAAAAGAAAATTATAATAATGAATAGTTAAAAAAAGAAAAAAATGGTACTAAAGTTTTTGAAATTTATTGATAAATAAACATTTATTTTTTATATTTATTTGATCATACTTTAAAAGTTTAAAATTATTCACGTGGATAAACCGATCCGAAATAAGTCAATAAAATTGTTTTTCTTGTACTTAAGAAATCTATTATTAATTATTTTTTTACTTTAAAGTGTTAAAATTACGCTGTTTATGCTATTCAAGTAGAATTTATGGCTTAAATATTTATGAACGTTCTTGAGTTTATGATATTATTTTATACATTTTTTTTTACAAATTAGTTGTTTGCGTTCTGATATAATACAACGAAAATAATTTAAAACTATAACAACATTAAGATTTTTTTTTTCAATATTAAATTAATTTAATTCTCAGACTTTCTTGATTGGTGTAAATTTACAAGAATATAATATTTCAAAAAAACTCTTATACTCCTCTTTCTTCTATATAATTTTAGGAAAATAAATTTTAAATTATTTTGTTCATTTTTATTTTTGAATAATAAACAGGGAAATTCATTTTTCCGAGAACTACTATAAACAAACTACATTTTAACTCATCCACATTGTTGAGCTTCAATAATTTATCATGTTTGGAGTATAATGTGTGTCTTTGTTGTTTTTCCTTATTTTGATTAAATTTTGTTGAAAAAAATAAAAATTGCACGAATGCGGTTCTTATAACAAACATTAAGTGAACCAGATATTTCGAATGAATTAGAAAAAAAATTCCTGAGTATTATTTATAGATATTTTCAAAGTATAAGCCTACCAAAAGATTACGTTTATTCTTATTGAAAATGATAAAATAATATTTATGGTTGTTAAATGATATTCGTATTAATAAGTTAATGATAATTTCGTGTTTATATTTTATTTACACTAAGGTAAATGTTGAAAATTCTATTTTCTGTTTGATATACATGGTAAAGGTCGTTTCGAATTGGATTGGAACTGTAAAATGTTAAACGGAAAAATTGACATTCATACTCTACCCTTTTAAGTACTATATATATATTACTTACATATTATGTAAGTTAAAGTTTAAAATGAGTTTGATAAACATGAGGAGAAACTGGAAAACGAGATAAAAGGTATTTTCTGTATCGCGTCGTACTATAAACTTAAGAGTTGATTTCTGCCGAGGTTCTGCAAAAGATAATCTGTGACGTGCAAAACGAGCAACGACGATATTAGAAAATAATTACGATGAATATAGCGTTACGTACGAACGAGATGTGAACGAAAAAATGTGGAAGCGTGAGATTGGCTAGTACGTTTCCAGAAGGGATCGATCACTCATATCGGTGGCGTACGAACGACGAGAAATCGTGAAAAGGGTAGAAGAAAAACTCGTCAAATCTTTAGGATGGAAACGACAACGGAGGGCGATCGAAATATTTGGGGTGACGGTTGCTACGATGCCGGAAACACGTTCAAGACCCGTTTTCCGTCGGCGGACCGCAGAGCGAAAAATAATAAGGAAAATAGTATACGTAACCCTTTCGGCCGAATGACCGTCTGGCGGGGGGTCGGACGAATGGGTAGGGCGACGGTGGTCGGACGAACACTTACGATTTTCGTGTTGAGATTCCGGAGCTGCGATTCGGCGTAACGGGAATCACGCTTGGACTTCCGGTGATCCGCGGATTTTGCGTCCATGTCGGCCGACGTACTACGTTGTACTGCGGTCGTCGGGAGCGCGCGCGCCGTCCCCCGAACAAATGTGTCGCACACGGTGGCGGCGGGACAGGAAACGACGGGGCGGGATACGTGCCCTGTGAAGGGGGTCAAGGGACGCGGAGGCGATCGGCGGGACCGGTGGCGCCACCGGGGTGGCGGGTGGAATGTGCGCGCGCCGGCGGTGTTGTTGTGACGGCCGCGGCGACCACCACCGGACTTGCGCGGTGACCACCCGTCACGAGAAAAGCTCGGTGGGAAAAGCGCGCGCGTCCGCCGAAAGTTCCGCGCCTTCACCCGTCGAACGGCGACTATTTGTCACGTGATTTCCGAGGGGGTCGCTATCGAAAGGGTCGCGAGTCGTACCGCGTTGCGCAACACCTGCACGAGTCCGCGTCGCGCGTCCGTCCGAATTACGGAATTACTAAATATTATTGTTGTTACCGTCGTTATTATTGTTTCTGTAACTGTCATCATCACAACGTTACGAGAATTTCACTTCCGGCATCGTTACAACGCAACCATTTTCATCGAAGTGGCCCTTCGTCATTAGAATGATTTTCTTTATTTGTTTATTTTTTTTATAACGTTTTTTTCAGTCTTGATCTGTTCGAATATACGAGTGTCGAATATCGTATTTATATACATACGAATTATGTGTACAAAGTTGCCCGTCGATAAAATTAGTTGAACCCGTTCACCCAAGTCCTTAAAATTCAAAAGCGTGAATTCAAAATTGTATTGTTTTCAAATGTCTTATTGATACCTCGTCATAACTATTTCGTACCGTCACTATTCACTTACGTTTTTATTTTTATTCACTAGGTTTCCGTCACACATGTTTATTTTTGGTTTGAATTTATATCAGCACGAAAGTTGTCAAATTATTTAACCACCCAGAGTTCACATTTCGGATTTCAAGTAAACTAGACATTTGAAGAATGACGCGAACGGGTGTAGCGTAAGTGAATTACACAGTTTTTTACAACGCTCCTATTGAAGATCGAAACGAAAACAATATTTCAACAAAATTAAATACTTAATGGGCGTACGGGTTCAAGCTTAAGCATCATCAATTCGTCCATAGATATCGTGAAAGTATAAAATTCTATTTTTGCTTTTTGGTCTAACGTCGTTATGATTACTTATTATTTTCTTTGGCACTCATATCAGAATTTCATTTTATCGGGTCATTGAACTATTCTCATTGGTTAAAACATTACTTAACACCATATTTTTGTTGTGTGACAATACCGCAATAGATTTATAGAAGATGATTATATTATCGTGTGTTGGAAAGCAGATATTCATGTGTGAGTGCGAATGTTGTAAATTAAAGTAGTAAGCCTAAAAGATCATGAGTTTTAGTAGTATAGTACGTGGAAAAATTTGTTACCACTGGCAATATTTTAAATTAATTCTGTAATGTTCAATTCTTCCAAATATGATGTTTCTATAGCCATGGCATGCATCGTGCAAAAATATAATATTTCAAGTGATACCCTTAAGTATAATTTGTATTATGTATCGGTTTTGAATAATAATTGTACGGCGAACTGTATAGGCAAATATGGTACATAACTGTTTTGGGAGCCAGTCGTTTTAAAGACATATCGTGCTGTTGTAATGCGTATCTCGTGGCATCGAGTGAGGCATCAAACGTGACGTTTCGATTTTCCGAAATTAATTTATTAATGCACATCATATTTATAATGTAAAAACAAAAATATCAATTTTTTTAAAAATTAACTCCGGTTCTTGCGTCATGGCCAAACAGAAGACTGTATTTAAACGCACAATGCACTAGGTTTTTATGAAATTATTTGTGTATCTTAGGTATTGGCTGATAATTGTATAGTAAATATAATAAGTAAAGTTATATAAAAAAAAAAAGTTAATGGTTTGAGGAAATTGTAACTAGTATATTGTACTTAATCAATAAAATGTTATAAATGAAAATATTTTTATTTTTTTTTTAATCACAATTTATCTCAATATTTTATTTTATTTATTCAATAGATATCAGAAGCCGAGTTATTTTGGTTACAATTGATTTTTTTTCTAACAATAAACCTGAATAATTAGAGGTGGTTCTCTCTTTTTGACGGTCGTTCTCCAAATGGCTATGTTTTCGAAACTAGTAGCCGACGGCTTCAATTTCTACGAGGAAGTTTTGACTAAAGGAACTAATTCTAACAAGTGAGATAAGAGTAGCTCGATTACTAATATTTTTTAAATAAAAAAAAATAAATATTTTTTAACTTTTTATAGATTCAAAAAATGCTCATATTATACTTAGTTTTTAGTGGGTAATATTAATTGCCCAGATTTTTTAAGTCGTTCTATACTCCAACTCTTAATACACGATGAGCAAACGCATTTAATCGAAGCCTGCAAATTGCCAACTATGCAAATAACACTTCCCGCGATAATATACAATATAAATCATGTAATAAATATTATTATTCTTATTATTAATATTGTCTTTACTATGTTTTATCTTGTCCATTATAATGATTGTAATGTTGTTATTACTGTAACAGGACCTTGATCGTTTAATACCAAATAAATAAATAAATTAATTAATATGAAAAACCCTTTGACGGTCAAGATAAATGGTGAGTTCTCATATAATATCTCATGCGTAATGAATACAATATTTTTTCCGACTGTCATTTTAACATTTTGACTTGAATGCCCCCAGGTTTTCTGTTTAATTGAAATAATTTACTGTATCCGTCCGAGTATCCGATCATGTGATTATAATTCAGTTAATTGTCATTTCGTTACAACGTGAATTCTATACACGCGTTATAGTAATTACCTGGTAATTTTTACAAAAAAAAGAAGGTTGCATATGCGTTGGGAACTAAAAATGTAGAAGACATTAATGTACAATCAATGATTTATATCAGAAATAAAAGCGATGATTTTGCTTTTTTTATATATAGTTCTTAGATATTTTTTTCTGCGCAAAGACACAAGGAAAATTCGTAACAGAGTTAAAAACCATCAAAAAAATTAAATCGAAGACAATAAGAAAAGAAGAGTAATAATTTATTTTGTCAGACTATTTTTTCAAAAATTTTTTTTTATAACACAGATCATTGAAAATAATAATTGTTGAATTTCTAAAACAAATACATTTTTCAATAAAATGAAACCTTATATCACATTTTTTTTTCTTGGAATATTAAATAAGGTAGACAATTTTGTTTTTACTCTTTCAAAAATAACTTTCGATTATTATTACACACATTTTTCGTATAGATTATTAACATTAATTTTCCATAAATTGTTATCAAATCATGTAATCTCAATATATATTTATAGTTTTAGATATAACACCTCAAGTTCAATAATATATACACAGAGTTCATTATATTAAATTCAAGTTAAGTTGAAAAAGAAGAGATGACGTATATAACATTCTAATTCAAAAGAAAATTAACTATTCATATGATTCTCGTATTTATTTTCTTTAAGAGCAACGTTAAAATAGGGATTAGTACAATAAAAAAACAAAATTTAAAATGTATTAAATTAATAGCATGCGGTAAGTAGGTGACATATCGAAATATCAGAGAAATAATTTTTATTAGGTTATGATATTAAAGAACGTTTATGTCTAGAATTGAAGGAATGCTCTTTAAAATCGATATTTTGTAACAAATATGGACAGTCAATTTAAGATTTTATAAAGAATATGGGAACATCGACATTTAATCTTATGGTATTCGGTGACATTAATCGAGCAATCGTGCACCATGTGCAATTTAATTAATATTAAGGTTGAATTAATTCTTTTTTAAGCCAAAAAAAAGTGTAAAACTTCTCTGATTTTGTTCTGATTTTTTTATCATACACGTTTGATCAATTTTCCGCAGTATATTATTTTTTTTTTATTTACCGGTTTGTTCTTGATTTCATAAAACTATGATAACTATAAAATAGTTCAATTGCGATGTAAAATGTAAATGATATCACATACTACCTAAGAAGTTACATTTGAAAAATAATTTATGTCATAAAATTACACTTCAAACGACCTATTATTATTATAAATATGTTTAAATTTCTGTAACCCACTATATTATTATGATAATAATATATTACAGCATATATATATATTTAACATAAAGTGTACTAATGTGTATTAAATTTTCCTCGATAGTGATATGAAGTCTAAAAACGTATTAAAACTTTAACCATTTACGAAGTTTATCATACTATCTACCAAGATGGATAAAGTTTATGTTTGACGTGGTAAATAAAATAATTTTATTACTTTAAGTATTGACTTATATATTTATCTCTTCTAATTATTTTCCATTTTTTTTTATTATATTTTTTTTTTTGGTAAATATTTGTTGACGTTTTATTGTTATAGCAATCGTAATAGCTGATTTTGTTCAATGTTTATATTATTTATTGCTACATTCCTTAAAATAAATTTAAACTTAAATTTATTTTTTATCAGAAACATGAAGACTATACTTACGCGTGATATACCAAGTGTACTTGGTTTCCAGAATATAAAACTAACATTTATTTGCTTGCTATTTCTTATAGGTTTTGTTGTAAATAAAAGTTTGAACTTAACTATGATTTAAAAATGCAATAAAAATATAAATATGATACTTTATTTAAATACTAAAAACAATACGATTGATAAATACTAAAATTTATTGTATGGTATAAATATAATATACTTTGGTGTATCTTAGTGTTCTTTAGTATGTTTTTCAATAGAAAACTTTGTTTATTCGATGCATTCGGAATGCAAATATTTTGAACTTCTCAACATTTTTTATACTATATAAAAAAATTACAAGACAATAGAAAAATATATGGTGTAAAGGTAGTTTTAAGTCAAGATAACAATAGTCATTAACTTGATAAGGTATAGAAAAAAAATAAATATTTTTGTCTAAATAAAGATAAAAATAGAACCTTATTATTTAGATAATAAAATAGATTAATTAGTTTTTTTGCTTATCAATAATAAAAACTCATAATATTATTCACTGGTGAATATGTATGATTATAATCGTTTAAATAAAATATTTTAGTCTTCTTTCAAAATCTTACCTATTGAATCAAAGCATATCCAGAATCCAAAATATTTAGCCTGTAAAATTGAACTTTCAAAATATTATAACATTGTAAATAAATGTTTATTATTTTATTAGATACTAATTTTTAAAATAAATTAGTATACCTATAGATTATTCAAAAATGTGTTACGTACTTGAGTGATCAATAGTAAATTAACTTGTTGAAAAAATGTATGATCATTATTTATGTATTATACATAAATAATGATCATACATTTTTCCAACAAGTTAATTTACTATTGATCACTCAAGTAGGAACACATTTTTTTTTTTTACTTTATTAACTTTCAACGATATGTTATTATAGTATTATAGTTCGGTGATTAAGCTTATAACACCCAGATCAAAATATATGTAATATCTGAAAATTATATAATTATATAAGAACTAATATCTATACTTTTATAATATAAGAAAAGACTAACACAGTTAAACAGAAATTTATATACTTAACACGATAGTGTGTTTTATCTTCTGCGATAAAACTCGGCCACATGAACCATCCCGACATACATCCTTGCCACCAATTATCTCCATTAAATTTTTGAATCCTTCCGTATACATATCCTACTAACTTTTTCACGTTATTCCTTACTACATCCTTCCATCTTAGAAGTGGTCTTCCCAGTAGTCTTTTCCCAGTAGGATTTTCTTTTAATACTATGCGTATGAGTGGATTTTGGCTACGCCAAGCATGCCCAGCCCATAGCAATCTTTTGTTCTTTATTGTTTTGAGTATACTGAGCTTATGGAAGTGCGTTTCTAATTCATAATTTTCTCTTATTTTCACTCACCGCTTAGCATGTCCTTTACTGGTCCAAAAATGTTTTGCAGTATTTTACTTTCCAGAACTAAGAGTTTTCTTTCATCACTATTCTTTAATGATCATGTCTCAGCTTCATAAATAATTATATGTTGTAATTATGTAATATATAATTGTATTTTTAAATTTTTTAAGTGTGATCTTTCTTTGAAAGAAGAAAATTATGATATTTTTTCGTAAATTGATTTATTTTTTTTAGTTCACAAGTTCGTTATAATGAATAACATTAAATAACATTAAATATGTACATTTCGATATATAAAAATATTTTATTTCTTTTCAATTAAACAATATTTGTTTTGTTCAGCTAAAATATTTGAAATATTGCAGGGTTCGTATTTTTTAATATTATAATATTAGCAATGTTTACAAGTGAACATAGGTACATAGTTTCCTTGATTACTTGATGTACATTGCAATTTAATTTTAATTAAAAAATAACTATAATTAATTTTTTTAAATAAAGTAAAATTGGTAATTTAAATTCTTAAAGAACATTGTGATTTACTATGCAAACTCTTTGTTCCAGATTTCCGCAAACCATTGTAAGTTGATAATTACAAGTACCTACTTATATGTTATTTGAACAGTATTAAATATATAGTTTATTTTTTAAGAATTTTGGTATTGAATAGTTCCTGACTAGCTATTTTTATTTACTTTGTGAGTAATACTTTAACATTTCTGATATTCATTTTTTTTTTTTTTTTGAGATTTGATAATATTTTACATGTACCATATTTGAAAATTCCCAATTATTTGGATTATGTTATTCAATTTTGCTGTTCAATATCTTATTTTTATATTCATATAAATTTAATTTTATAGCATAATTTTCGACCGTAGGTATATTACATTTCCAACGCATTTTAACTATCAGTGTTGTATTGCACTCAGCATTAAAATCAATTTCCTAAGTATTTAAATGGAAATTTATTGAAATGTATTCAGCATATATTGTATGTTAATGAAAAGTTTACGGTTATGCTCAGTGGTGTGGCATAGATATTTTATGTACGATATCGTGGTTGTAATAATTTGGTTAATTTTTTTTTTTTTTTGATCTTTCACTTAAACGTTTTGTTTATTTGTAAATGTTCTAAAATCTACTGAAATATACGTTTATATATTCCACAGGATATAAATTTATAAGCATTTAATCTATAAAATATACATATTAAAAAAAAATATACATGATTCGGCGAAGAAGGGATGGTATATTTAATAGAAAAGGTGAAGTACTGAATTATAACTTTACATTTTTGTTTGTAATTGCTAATTTTTTATGATGATTAATTATTCGATAAAAACAAATGAATAATTAATGCACGTATGATATTATAATATTATTTTATTGTTTTTTTTTCCAAATGAAACATATTATTATTTTTTAACATGGCCGGTAATTTTGTAACGACTGTAAATGATTGATGCAGGAAAATAACATAAAACTGTCAACCCGTCTTCACGTCTGCGAACACACGAATAAACCGCAGAGCAAACATTGATTTACAATTGAGGATGTGTTTTTTTTCTATTTGCTTTTTTTCATCCATCTACGCGAAATGTGTCAAATCGAACATTGGAATAAATCACGGTTTACGGGACCTTTGCGGTTTTCCTCGTTTGTACAACAGGCCCCGCTAGGAGCAGGGTAAAACTTTTTACGAACGTGCACCTGATTTACAATAAATACTTTTTGAATAAACTTTTTTTTTTCTACAGTTTATTTCGATCGATAATAGTACAACAATCGGTAAATAGTATTTTTTTTTATTTTTTTTTGTTTCTTCTTATTTTTGCGTCTCGTTGCAAATTTGGAATATTAAATGATCTGTTCAAGACTACAAAATTTGATTGTTCTTAATACATAATATATAGTTCAATAACAAAACGATATAAAACAAAATATTGACAGCGGTACACAAATTTTAACAGGAATATTATATTGGTATTCATTTTTCATATATATATTGTATTTTATTTTATTTTTTTCGTTTACTTATAAAATATAAAATGTAAAAACTTGACAATACCATTACATTAACGTGAGCACGTGAATAGAAACAATTTTATTATTATTATCATTAAACATTATTATTGCACGGACAAATTTTACGATTAAAATATTACATGACCATGAAATATATATATATATATATATATATATTACGAACACCGGAAAAATGATATATAGAAAAAAGCGAGGTGGACAGTCTACGGATTATTAAATAACAGTAAAAACGAACAGGCTATTGATACATTTATTAGTCGAATATGTGTCCGAATAAAATTATATAGGTAGTACTGTTGTAACCGTACGGGTTATCACAAAATCATTTAGAGCCAAACAAATGACTGGAGGCTGAATTCAATGATAATAATGATATAGAGATATTAATAAACGATCGTTAACTATTTACTATAACAGAGAGAAAAACAAATAATAATATACAAATGGCTTTCTAAAAAGCAAATGGTGTTTTAAAAATTGCTATTGATAAAAAATAAGCAAATTATGCCTAAAATTAAAGATACAAAAATTCAATATTTCGTATAGTTTACAGTAAAAACCAAGTATATAATACAATAATATAATAGTTCCCCGTCGGCCGCCTGTCTATCTAAAATTAAATTCGATCTTCTAATACCCCTATAAAAAATTATTCGTCTTTTATTTATTTATTTGTTTATTTGTTCATTTATTATTTATTTTTTACAGCGTATAAAAACCGTAAATAAGATTTAACAAAAATAACGCTAAATAAATGTGTTATTTTTTTTTTTTTTTTGTTTTATATATATATATATATGTTTTATATATATATATATACCATAGAAAACGTGTGTTTACGAATAAAATTGTCAATTTAGTGGAGGAAATATACGTTACTCGAGCGCAAAGCTTTCCGTGATTTATATTATGTAAAAAATGAAAATAAAAAGTAACGATAAGAATCAAAAACAAGCTCGTGTGAATGATCGCCCTTAGATATGGTGATGTTACGGTAGACGCTAAAATCCGGTTCCCTGTTGTTGTTGTTGTTGTTGGTGATGCGTTGGGCTCGTTGTTGTACTGCTCGTTCGGCTCTGCGTTTCGGATGTATCCTGCAGGACAGGAAACAAATAATGCAATCAACTTTATGCATAAAATCAACGTTTTTGAATTAAATATTAAACATGAGTTACTCATTTCATATGTTTGTATCATAAGTTTTAGGTATAGCTGACAATACACTGAAATATTTAGTATTTAGTTTATATTGTAAGTGTTATTCATCTTTGCATATATAAATATATACGAAAACGATATTCATACATCATTATAGGCAGATATAAATTTGAACGAATGAAAAAATGTTTAAGAAAAAATATTTATTTTGGTATGATAATAATAAATTACAATAAAATATCAATTTGTAAAATTTTACAAACGGTCTCTCAAAAATGTTAAAAAAAAAAAAAAACTAGTCACTTCTTTGTGGTGTGTTTTAGATGTTAAAGAGAATTTTCGTATGCTTTAACTAGGCCAAATAGTTATGATTTTTTAGTATTTGAATAAAATAATCAACCCTTGTTTAGTAACTATCTTCCTAGTGCAACTTCGACGTATATTTACCGTCCGAATGTTTTTATCGTAATCGAATTATGCTTATATCGAAAATTTTCGAACCGACCGAAATCGTAAAAGAATAAAATATTTTATCCTTCGGACCGTGTGATTCAAAAAAAAAAAAAAATCGCGATGCGAACACAGTTTTGCCGATAGTGTAAGCGAGCCACAGACTCACTAAAACAATAACGTTTCTAGGACCTAGAATGCGTCTGAACAGTAATAATGACATGCTAAGGATAATCGTGATGGTGTAGTAACCGTGATATTTATAGTTCGAGATACGTACCATTTCGTGTAACGAGTCTAGCCTGGCCAGTGGCGCCAGTGGCGTGAACTCAATCACGTTGCCCTCGTCGCTGGAATAACTGGTCGTACACCGTAAACTGGCAAACTGCTGTCGTTTCAGACTAGCCACCGGTGGAGGTGTCGTGTCCGTTCCGGTCAACGTGCTAAGTACGCATTGAAAAAAAATGTATGCAATTATTATATGGTTGAGTGTTTTTTAATTTTTTTCGTTCATTATTTCCCGTCGTGTTTTAATCAGTGGTGAGCAAACGAACGATAAGGCTCAAAAATCCGGGTTGAGGTCAAGGGGAACATTAGTATTGTCGTCTATAATCGGGATACGGGGGATAAATTATTTTGAAAATCTCCCGACATTTTGTGCATTACGTTAAAGCAACTTACGCGTAGATTGTCATATAAACTCTCTTTCTCTCTCTCTCTCCTCTCTATATACATACTCTATATATATATATATATATACGTGATGCGCGAGACGGCGAGCGCAAAAGTGTCTTAGGATCCCGGAAACGAAGCACTGTATGATCAATGGTGGTGCAATAAACCGTTGAAAATGTTTCGACCAGCCCATTAGCTATACATATAGATCTGCAGTTGAATATCGTTCGACTAGGTACCAATGTGCGATAATGGAGGTTTAGTTTATTTCAATAACTCTATAATTTTTCGTAACTCCGTGAATTATGTAAATTGCAAGTATATTTCGGTTTTTCGGGGGACACAAGCTTCGATGCTTGAATGCTTATGTTTAAATATAACGGTCGCTTTAGATTGGAAATAAAATACATAACCTTACACTGGGTAGAGGAGTCCTGAGTTAAGTTACCCAATACCTAACTTTTGTGTTCACAATTGAATAATGAACATTTTTTTTTTAATTTCCGCATCACGTCACTGTTTTTAAAATACGATTAGACTGTTGAACATAATATTACACCTACTGCTAGATTTATTACACTCACTTGGACGTATCGAACAGGCTGGCCGTTGGCGTATCCCTTATAAACCGATTCTGTTGGGTCTGCAAAACAAAAGATAACACTTCATAATAATTGCAATCGTATACGATTTATTTTTATATCTTAATTCGATTTTTCATTACGCTACATTCACAATGTTATAAATTCTGATTCTTGACCACTCAATCTACAGGAATTACTTATATCAACCTTTTATTAATAAATCTCCTAAATTTATTTCTGAGAGTTCAATAAAATAGATTACACACTATTAAAAGTAATGATTGAAAATTCAACTAATCTCAGAAATTACATTTGACATTTTAATTTTGATATTAAAACAGCAAAGTTCGATAAACTTAATCAATCGTTGAAAACAACATTTGTTATAATTTCGTATCTGATATTTGATTTTATTACGCACTCAAACTCCAAAGCGAAATAGTACGTACGCTCTTTGATTGATGTGATGCTTTTTTTTATTTTTAATTTTTCATGCGAATTAATGTCAATAACGTATGCATAACATCAACAATAGCCTTTAATCATGCCAATATGCCAATGAAATATGAAAATATATTGAATCTCAGCAAACCCGCTCCCTCATCGTTTTAGTTACCGCACATACGATTATATTACGATATAAATAATATGTGATACCATCGAAAGATCTAAGATTACATTACAGGACAAAGGATAAAAAAAAAAAAAAAACATTTAGCTCGCCGCAGCCCGTGAATGGGTATTGGAAACTTTTCGATGTTTCTCATTGGATGATGTAGAATAAAAAAAAATATATATATATATATATATATATACTTTACACGTAAAATAAACAAACGGAAACACGAAAAATACTAGAAAATATTGCACCGGACTGGGGAGGTAATCAATAATAATCATGTCAGATATGGCGGATGTCTTCAACGCATTTATCTGCAGAAAATTCAATACGTCCGATCGCACGAATCAAACGCCGAACAGTGAAACGTGACGTTTTTGTCGACGCAGAATACGCGATATTACTTTATTTTATTATCCAGGAACGGGTTAAATGTAATACCGTGGTTATGGTTAAATGATTTTTATAACGCACACAGAAATCTAAACTTATCAATTATTATATCCACCACAAAATGTTATAAAACCCCTATAATTGGTGTCCATCGTGACTTCAAGAGATTCCTTTAAGAGAAAAACTGATAAAAACCCGAATATATTATAATTTTAAAGTAAAAATTTTTATGTGGAACGTAAATGATATTAAACTTGTGAAATAAATCAATGACCGAGTGAATTGCGATTCACTTATGTTCACTTATGTTATTGAAAATTGTGAATAATATATTTTAATTTGTATTTTTCCATGAAAAAACAAAAAATCATTCGAAGTTTCGCAGTAGGTACTCTCTTATTCATTACAATAGTATAATTTTTGTTGTTTTTAAAAATTTTAATGAAAAAGGAAAAAATCTCTTCGTGAAAAAAAAATTAAATTTAACTTTCTTTAAGTGCCCTCTAGATGTATAATAAGTGGGTTTTTTTTATTATACTTCATTATATATGATATTTTTCTCGGGTCTTGTTAAAGTTACAAAAAGTACACGGTATAAACTATTTCGTTTGAACTAAATTACAAGAATAAATAATAGTTTAAAAATATTGAGTATTCGTAAGAATTTGATTTTTAGTATTAAATGAGTTGTAATATGTAATATGAGTAGTAATCGATCGATTATTATACATATGCGTTCTGTATAGTTTAAAATGAATGAACACTAAGAATAATGTTTTTACCGACAAAATTCATAAAGAGTTGAAAAATTTAACTTGCAATTCAGACGAGGGTAAAATAAATAATATTGGTACTGTTTACTCGGCGAAAAACGCTGTTCGATTTATCATTCATGTTATTTTCGAATAAAATCCATAATAGGTATACCATATAATAGGCGCACTGTGTTATGTTGACCGTTGTATAGATGTGAGGAAGTCATAACGTACAAATAAAACTTACATTAGAACGTGTGTGACCAATCGTCGATTGAAATTTGCTATTATTTATTAGCTAGTTATTTTTTCATGATAGTGCGTATTTAAGTATATTACACGTAGAGTCGAAATGTGTAAGAAACGTTTGTCTGCGACCGTCTTGAACAGATTTCAGATGAATCGATTTTTACGGAACGCACCACAAGAGTATCCGAACGTAAATTGTGTCACGAATTTGTCATTGCACAAAATACATTGGCACGTAAACAATACCGCACTGGTGCTTGAATCGGCCAAATAGCCAACTAGGGGACGCAGTTCACTAGATAAAAAATAAAAAATAAAAATAGAGTTTTTTTTTTTATCAATTTTTCAATTCTTCGCTCAACTTTCACGATCGCAAGAAACCTTCTTAAGTTTTTAATCTCATAAAAGTATCGAAAATCTTACACTACCGTGCATTGTAATCCAAAGAAAAAAAGTATATTATATAATGTGTACGATAAACATTTCTGAAAAATGTACGAAATACGCATGTTCACCCCGCGTCTTGTCTAACTCGATTGCAATCTGTGTAAACAGTGGTTCATAAGCTTTCTTGAAAACTGAGTTCCTACGGATTTGCATCGGCAATAATGATATACAAATGTCCTAGTGTTAAGTTTGGGAAATTTCGAGGAACATTCCCAAAACTAAGAAATTTATAGAACATATTATATTTTTTTATTTTTTTTTAAACAACGTTTCATCGAATCATATGTTGTAATATTTAATTTAACTCAACAACATATTATGTTTAATTAAACTTAGTTGCCAACGATCCGAAGAACAAATATTTTACACCTTAAATTTTAAGGCATAAAACATAAGAGCAGAGTAAGTAAGATGATTTTTGGTTTTGTAATTTTTGAAGTATCTAATACTTTTTTTTTTAATTATAATAATGATGATAAAATAATAAGTTTTCGAAGTCGAAGTCGGCTTATACAATTTCTTGATTTTGAAGCATTGCCGTTCAAATAGTTTCGTATAAATTAGGCCCTCCTCACACGGGGATACTCAAAAGAAATTGCAATCGTCTAGGTACTAGGAGACTGGATGATTAGGCAACAACAGTTGCCGGTTATCTTTACACACAATATGTTAAATTTTTGTTTCTAGTTTTTTAAACTAGTGTCGCCCTATCATTTCGACAGTACAGTTCAGTTTTTCGTATTATATGTGTACATTGATATTTATGCAGTAAATAAATTAAAATAAATACATTTTTTATAATGTCTAGTAGTAATTCTGGTAGCGACGAAGAAATCATTTTTTATCATTACTATAAACACCAATTAAACAAACGCAGAAGAAAATGTTGGATCAATCCTTATAGCTCGGGATACTTTTCTATTTGTTGCACAAATTTTATATTAAAATTTTGATCGATGTTATATTATTTTATTATGCACGAAATAATAATTACCAAGCAACTCGATCGACCGAAGTAGCGAGGAGACCGGCATGTCTAGTCGCCAGTTGACTATTCGCGTCAGTTTATCAGTCGCGGCGACTTTAGTAGCGCCGTCTGAATGACGTCATTCAAACACACACGAGCAGTTGCCTAGTCGCCTAGTCTCTTAGTATCTAGGTGATTGCAGTTTCTTTTGAGTATCCCCGTGTGAGGAGGGCCTTAATTTTTTTTAAGAGAAATTTCCCGGTAAGTATGAAGAATATTTCGGTTATGTCCATTGTTACTGATAACATTAATTAGGGAACGTATTTAACAGCACATTGCTAGTCAACAATTTATCAAACAACGATATTTACACCGCTAGCAATTGAATTTTAATAAAGGCTCGGTCCGCAGGAGCATGTTTTTGGAAAGTACTTGCCGAGCAATAGATTTCTGGATTCACTGTTTGGAAATTACTACGACGTATAAACTACGCAAGTCACGCGATATCAATATTTTCCTCCAGAAATCCCCTGTAACATACAACCTTAGTAAATTGTACGGATACGTATTATATAGTAACTATGCGATTCTATGCACAGAGAATAAAAAATAATCCGATGCGATGACGGTGGCAAGATTTGTTTCCACGACGTTTCACGAATATAATAGCTGAAGAATTATTTCATTTCTCTCTCTCTCTCTCTCTCTCGATATTACGAATCCGTACTGCGGTGAAATGGACAGTTTTACATAAGAAAACGCATGCTACGCAGATTCATGCAAATATCTCGTATTGGTATCGTATACGAACGGGGATTGACGGGACGCGCACGTGTCCATCATACACGTGGCCATTTCGGAATCCAATGTAATGGGGTAAATATTAATTTAATAACTTATACACCCCGACCGAACCCGTCTCGACGGTGTTATCGGTTTTCATTAGCACAAAATCATCGGCGCGAGTCGAAATGCAAACGCAATAACTGTTCCGTGTAGTTGCCGCGTTCGTCCTCGGGTTTGTTTGCTGACGCCGTTGCATATGATTATTATTGCTTTTACGCGTTCCACGCAAAATGCTATCGATCAGACGGCTTTCTGCGGTAAGCTTTACCGTTGCAACGTTTCGCGGGAAAAATGATTCACAAAAACGTTGTTTATTACCGCCGCGGATTCCGCGATACGTATGAACGGATAACGTTCTTAGATAATAAATTATGTATGCGATCTAGAAAGTTTCTCGTTCAGTCTCGATGATGCTTAAGTTTTAAGTGCGTACCGTACATATTACATTTCATCCGTTTTAGGTACGTTTCAAAAAACCTCTTTCCGTAAACGGGGTTGATTGAGATTTTAAATCGCTCTTGATATTATCTCGTTACGGTTATTGGATAAAACACACAAATTATGATTTGTAGTAAGTATACCCAACATTATTTGGACAATGAGATTAATAAAGTTTTGATCGTCTATAGATTTTTTTTTTTTACGATTTTAAATTAAGTTGGTAATAGATTAAATATATGGAGTACTTTTTTTTATGACGCTTTAATCATTTGACGATTATATTTTTATTATATATTTATTTATTTAGTATTATTCTTGAAGAGTAATATGGTACGAAAAGTAATTCATATTAATATATAATTACCAAAATGTACAGGAAATTGTATATTTTTTTTCTATTGATTAATTTTAATGCGTACCTGGAAACAAATTTGATTCACGTTCTACTGAATCAAATAATAATATTTTTACTTTGTATACATTAAAGTTTTATATTTTAAATCCATATTTTTGAGATTTTAAGAATAGTAATACTTATTTCACTATATTATCGAATTATTTTAAAATATTAAAATTAAGGGATAGATAAATTATCGACCTATAAAACTGTGTTTGTGTCAAATATTATTGGGTTCAAGTTTGATCAAATTATAAATAACATTGTATCACAGCGTTACTATATTCATATTGTAAATAAGTTTACAATATTAAAATATTATAAAATGTAAAAACAACTAATAAGAATTAAATAATTATAAATTATAATTAATTTTTAATTTTATTACTAAAATTAAAATACATTTTTTCTTTACATATTTGAGTGTTTTTATTAGCTAAAATTCATATTCTGGAATTTTTAGTGCTTGTATATATGTTACAGTAAATTTAAGAACATAAAAATCCGATCCGTACTAATATTACATTTTAGTAACTATAAAGAAGTATATATTTTAAGATTTTACATTAGTAAAATAGTAATTTTAAACAAAACATTATTTCATGATATTAATATATGTTTAAGCGAGTTATACATAACAAAATTATTTCTACCTGAATTAGGTAATGAGAACATTTTGTGGACGAAAGACGTTAAATTATGGTATTTTAAAATTAATTCTTCTTAATATTTCTGGACAGTAAATTTTATTATTTAATAAATATATATATATAATCAACTTGATTCAGAGTTTGTCATTTTCTACTGAATTAACGTTAAACCATTAGTAAGTTATGTGTTTTCTAAAGCTATTTTAGTAGTTACTATACTATTTACTTTTTTTGGCTGTATGTACAAATTTTCAGAAGGTTTTCGTTTACAAGAAATACCGACTATTTGATGATTGATTTCTTGTTAAGCACACCGAATATAGTTTCAACAAAGTTGGTCAGAAATTAAAACCTTTTCGTTTTGAACTTAATTTATGTGTATAGATTAGCGGAATACGTACGTTTCACATATTGCCAAGAAATTTGTTCGATGCTTACATTTTATAAACATAGCCATTATTGGCTAAGTAATGAATAAAAATTGAATAAAAAAATGTATGTTCAAGTTCAGTTACAATAGAACACTACTCGTCATCGAAGATATACAACTAATATACGGAGATAAATAAGTGCTATAGTATTAAGAACTATAATAATATAGCGTAGGTAAATCGTCACGTGTTTGTAAACTGTCAGTGTATATTCGATGATTATTAATTTTTTTCGATAGACTATAGTATTCTACAAGATCGTGGGATTTTAAAATATATAAGAATGATAAATAAATGTTGCAGTTTAACTATTAAAATCTAACTGGATAATGTTGATGAAAATAAAACTTAAGTACTATATTTTCTCGGTATAAAATATCTTCATTATCGTGCTATTTCATTATAGCCATTGTCAATTCAATTTTAAACTGACAACAATTGATTGAACGAAATGAAAAAAAATTGGATTTAGGTGAAATGGATCCCACCCAAAAAAATCTTATTATTTAATTAAAAGCGAATAATCCAGTGATACAAAATACAATTCATAAAATCAAAATGGATCAATTGTTAATTGTTATACTAATTTTTTTTCGTTGCCAAATATTCTACTGAATATTATAAAAAAAATAAAATTATTCATTGTTCAATAGAGGTGGATTAATAATAGAATAATGAAATTGTAATTATTATTTTTTTCATTATTCATGTAATTTTACGTATTATAAATGATGTATTAATGTATAAATTATATACTGTCACAGATGTTATCTATGATCATACAAAATATCTGTATTATTTCATATGCTCATAATGCACAATTTTCTATGATCAATCAGTAATCGAACCTTAAAATTCTAAAAAAAAAAAATCTCCTTTTTGTTTTTAAAATTCCATCAAACATAATTTACACGGAGTGCTTACTTTTGCACAGATTTTTAATGTACGCGTAATGTCAACTTTCCCAAAGACTATACTAATCTATAGTATATTAGTGTTTACCTGACAGAGATCGTGAGGCTGGGAATAACTGCGCCTAGGAATGGTACCTTGAGGATCAGACGACTGCCGCATTGGAGACGCTTGCTGTCGACACCGGCTCTCGCTTTTCATTTCATCTTGTGACGAGCTTCTGAAACGAAATAATCACACTCGATGAGATGATTCGATGGCACAATAATTTTCAGTGATAATTTCGATGTAATTTACCTGAATTTCACGGCCAACGTGGGTCTAGGCAAATGATCGCTGGTTGGTATGCTCGATGTTTTCTTTATAGGTGACGGCCGTAATCTACATCCATCTGTTCGTGACTGTAAAAGTGATTACGAGTTTTACACGTGAGCACAGGAAAAATGTCAACGACGGCTTACTTCTGCAGTCAAAAACTCGCCGTTTTTATGTTTTAATATGTGCAATATCGTTTTGATATCATTAGACACAGACGTTTCCAAATTGTCAAGCTGCCTGGAGAGTCTGTCTATGCGATGATGCACATCGGAGTGCCCGCACTGCGAACATGTTATGACACGTTGCGGTGATGGAGGCGTTATCACAGTCGTATTATTAGCGATCACAGACACTGGAATAAGAAGGTCAGTATTAACTGAGCAGACAATATCATTGAAATATAAATGCTACGTTGTGTTTCCGTTCATCGAATCTATACGTTTTAAACTCTGTAAAAAATTACCTTCAAACAGATTGAGACAAATATTTTGTTAAAGTTCGTACCAAAAATTTAAATAAAATTAAATTTACAAAAGTGTGTATCAATGTACATATTTTGGCTACTCGATTTCACTTAGGTAAACTATTGTGTTAAAACTCAGAATGATGCTTATCATTGACAGTTAATTACTTACACAAATCATCTAAAAATTAAATAAGCTTCACCCCATTATATTCTTTTACTAAATTACAAGAGCTTTTAACATAGATATTAGAGTTTTTGATGACTCCCAAGTTTTTGTTAAAAACTTTAAATAATTTCAAGGACTCACTAGATGTGGTGGGAAAGGGAGGGGTTTGTGCTTTACAAGCGGAATGTAAGGGGCTCTGGGCCGTTGGGGTCCCGTAATGCGACGACGCAGTCGTACTGAAACCAGCTGCTGTCATGTTCTGCACACTAGTATGTTCGCTGCTATTCGCCTTGTGCTGTTGATGCAGTGTAGACGATTCTGAAACTATAGACGGTTTAATATCACATCAAATTTGAGGACGATTTTCGATTGACGCTTAAATGTTTCTTACTGGGCAACTGGTGCTCGAGTAGTGGCTGATTCTCGTTGCACTGAGATGCAAATAAGTGTTTGTGAGATGTTGAGGTCTTTAGACCACCAGCGTTTCCTAAAATATGCACGCAAAACAAAACAAAAATATCTCAATCGGTAAATTAATAGACAAATAATAAACACGTTAATCCCATTTATTTACCAGGTCTCCCATTCTCCTCGTCCCTGCCATGTTGTTTTTGCGATAGGCCATGCAAGCGAATGTCAGTCACACTACGTTTGAGTTGGCTGAACATGCCTGAACCCACCCAAACAATAAAAATAACAAATAATCATTCACCTTAAAGGAAACGCTATTAGTTGTTGGGGTTCGAAGCGCATAACAAAGCTTAGGTTACTATATCTTAGTTAACCTTTCGTACAAGCAATAATATTAATAAAATTAATAACAACAATGAAAGAGATTCTAAAAACTACTTTATCGTCCTTTGGCTAACCACCAACCATCTGTAAGTATTTATTAATACTCATCGTCTTATTGACATAAGTAATAAAATACTTGCCTAAGAAACATGGGTTAGATAGGTCAATCGGAATTAACTTACCAGAAATAGAGTTCAAAGTCGAGCCCCGTGTTTGTATTGCTTCGTCGTCGAATTTCAAATTCATCGGCGTTACATCTTGGCCAGCTTTGTCTGTAGAAAACTCAAGGATACCGTGGCCTTCTGCGTATTTTTCACTGCGAAAATAATACAATGGCTTTAGTTATATAATTTTGCAGAAGAAAATATGGGGATCGATTTACTTGTTGTTAAACTCGGACATGACGTTATCGTTGTCAGTTGTGTCATCTCTTAGCGGTTCTGATGGGCCGATACAGCTCTCCGACACTCCCCTATGAAAACTGTGGTAGTATTTCTTCGTCGCACCAATGTTGGCCGTGCCACCGATCGGTTCTTGTGAACTAGATCTTGACCTGATTTTTCTGCTGTATCTGCCCGCTCTGGGGTCTACGCCAACTTGCGTTTCCTAATGTCACGGAGAAAAACATGGATGTCAGTCTAATAGTACATTCAATGGACTACTATACCACTCGTCTACTCACATCTCGCATGTAATATGTTATCTCGAGATTTTCTTTAAACGAATGATAGAACTCCGGATACAAATCTAGGACCTCGAGAAGATCGTTTCGGTCGATCTTATGCAGGTCACAGTAGGTCAGCGCTCGTACGTTACAGCACGACTTACCGATGGTAGCATGTTTACATGGATTTTCACCAAATATATCGTTTTTACCTAAAAAAAAAGAGAAAAAAACAGGTTTTGGACCATCAAATATTTCGTTTACCACCGAAACACCGGACGCGGAACATACTTAATATGGCCATGACTACGTTATCTTTTAAAATTTCGATAGAGCCACGTGATATAAAGTACAACGATGTGAGCACGTCTCCTTGATGTACCAGGGTGTCGCCGGGCGGTGCATGTGTCGTCCGAAATTTCAACGACAGGGCTCTAAACGTTTATGTGCAAATAAATTATTAAAAACATTCAGTATTTATACACCATGAAATGCGTAAAAATCACCAGTCAATCAGTTACCTCAAACACCCGGGTGATGCACCATTGAATGCCGAACAGTTTTTCAACAGATTTCGGTTGAGATGGAGACAGATGTCGGCTTGTAAACATTCCGGGAAACCCTTAAGTACACTGTTCATGTCTATACCATTAGTGTAAGTCCAAGCGTGCTACGATTTTATAAGATAGTTATGGTAAAGGGCTTTTTTCGGAAAAATCAACTGAAATATTTACTTGGAAATATTCTTCGAGTCTTTGCCTCAATGGATTTGGTATTTGATGAAATCTAATGAATTCTCGGACCCTGAGCATCTGAGTGTGATACCTGGCTGTTCCAGAGTATAGCCTTTGTATAATTGCGGATACATTACCGAATATACTGGCATACATAAGAGCTGAAAACCAACGAAAGGTTGATAACTTGATATTGTATTTAAACATTGAAAGGCATCAATTGCAGTGTATCCATTAATAAAAATAAAAATAAATTAACGAAAAATGCTCTTAATATTTTATCGAAAACAACATTCAGCTCTTACTGGTATATAGTATATCATAATTGCGGTAAATTTGAAATTTGAGAAACCAAATAAATTTTTTTTTTTTACTTTATCATTTTCGTGCTATTTAATATCTATATAAGACGCGCACTAATATGTTTCTTCGATAGAATAAAGAATATTTTTCCAAATTTTCATTTGAAAACTGAATAACAATTGTCTAAACGTAAATAAAGTCCATTATGTTCATGTACACATAAAATGTCTCGGAATAGAATAACATATAATCAAATCTGTTCACTTACATCCTACGAGCATCACGCATATAGTGAACGCTTTTTCCGCATCAGTATTGGGTGCCACGTTACCAAACCCCACGGAAGTTAATGAGCTAAACGTAAAATACAGCGCGGTGATGTATCTCGACTGAAACAAAAAATAAACAAAAATATTTCATTGAAAACTAAAATGCACGTATAATACACGAAGAGACGGCTGAACCTATTTGGAAATGCTAAATCTGTAGTAGAGACCGCAAGGTATTGTAACGGTCGAAGGGGAGCATAAATAAATGTGACGAGCGAAGCCGGTATCACCGTAGTCGAAGGAGCGATATAATTTCGAAAAAGTTTCCCATATGATCGTTCGGACAAACAATATTCAGACCCGGTTTAACAGGATCGGATCAAAGCATTGAGAGTTTTTTGCTGGTCTTTCGACTTTGACAATTTAAAACACGAAATTCCTGTTGAAATTCAGTCGTTCAAATTTTGTACAAAATTGTTTCCTTTTTTCTTCCCTACACCTCAGTTAAGATATATAACTACGATGGCATACCACTTGCAAAAGTCGATTATCATACGGTTTTCAGTTCCGACCGGAGATCGATTCACAGAGAATTAGGAATGTGGCGACGCGAACACGATTTCGAAAAATCCTCGCCGGTCAACCGAGGCGTTCGACTGTGATCCTCCCTCCCTGCAACCTGCGTCACTACTACAGATATAAAAGGCATTTGATACCGATATGTGTTGCATTCTCTCCTTTTACACGATTAGCATAAGAAATCTACCCCTTTTTCGGTGCATGAATACTGTTGACGCGTTGAAGCGATAAGGATTCTAAAAAGACATTCGAATTCACCATGAAATCTGTTTGAAATCGATCAGGCTACGTATTTAGATTTATATTCTTAACTTCACTCATTCGATTTCAATAAATAATTGTTTCCAACAAATGAATGTTGTATCCCTTTTTAAGACAAAGGTCTACTCTTATCGATTAAGTAACGCCAGACCGACTAATCTCAAGTAAGATCCGTATCGAATCCTCGCAGTTCCGATTCTTCGACTTGGTTGACAAGAAGTGCATGGCGACCATTGGTAAGTCGGTAAACACTTATCGGTACCAAACACCCCATCAGGAGGGGGCCGTTTCCGAACGTCGGTCCCGCGCGTTACCCTTATGCTCGGACCGCCGGTGTTGTTGTGCGAGTAAAACTGGTGCGTGTCGTTGGCCAGTATGTCCAGCCAGCCCACTTTGCTGTCCACGTGCCGGCGCTCCGCGTTGCCGATCGCGTACCAGATGCACGCCAGCCAGTGGGCGATCAGCGCGAACGTGGCCATCAGCAGCAGCAGAACGGCCGCTCCGTACTCCGAGTACCGGTCGATCTTCCTGGCCACCCGGACCAGCCGAAGCAACCTGGCAGTCTTCAACAGCCCGATGAGCGTGGTGGTCTGGAATTACACAAAACAAACCGGGCGACGGACGCTATTAAGCGGACGCGGATCACCAATTGCCCGTTTCCCCGTCACGCGCTCGGTATCCCGTGGCAAGCTTATCGTGCGCGACCGCGATCGTCGTCGCTTCATATCTGACGTGATTAGACGACCGCGAATTCATTTTTGAATCCATCAAAAACTTGGTCGATTACGGGTTTCAACGGTAGAGATCGGTCGAAAGCGTCGGGTGACGAATGAGTACCGTTTTGTGTATCGCGATCGTGTTGACGCGTTTAACAGCTGCGCGTCTATAGATGTCATTCTTGCTGTTCGTTCGCTCGATCCAAAACGTGTTTTTCAGTACCAAAAGAGGGCAAGACGGGGTTTTCGAAAGGACAAAAAGGCAATGCGTGATCGAAAAATAATAAAAGTATACCGTTTTGATTAAAACTTGGAAACCGTTATTGATTAAAAAAAAAATCGAACGACAAAGTTTTCAAATATCCTTCGGGGGTTGTCCGTAGCACGTTCGGTTTTACGGACAAACGCGCAGGACAACGGCGGACGTTGGCACGGTAAGCTTGGCACGTGGTCGAGACCGTCGACGCGGAACCGGTGCGCAGCAGTTGGCAGGGTGTACAACAGCTGCGGCCGCTGTGCACTTAGCGACGCGCGGCCGCTCAAAGCCAAATATCTATTGTGTGCACTACGCGCTACGTGTGGCCAACGGCGTACGAACAGTCGGCTCGAGGCGGAGGACTTCCGGTCGGCTCCTGAGTCCACGCTTTAAGTTCCAGGGTGGCGTAAACCTTTTTCACGCTCATTTCGCATAACGATCGCTTTTATTTTTTATTTTTTCCCAGCCACTAGTGCGCGGTATTGTTTTTCCATGGGTGGACAACAAGGATCAAGTGGCTGCCTTGCCTTACTCTACCAAAAGGGTGGCCCTCGTGGATACGGAGAGGGCTAATAAGTTTTGCGATAATCTACATCAGCGATACGCAACCTTTAATCGATCCTCGGCCCTCAAAATAATTTATTTCGACATTATCACCCCCTCCTACCGACATTATGTTAGTGTGTAGTATTTACTGGCATAATTTTTACGAAGGTTGAATTCATATTTATTCAATCGTTAATTTTAGACAATTTTAATATGTGTTTAATTTAATTCATCCAAAACGTTAAAATATAAAATTAGATTTTTAAAAAACTGTTTGGAACGTAGTCACAGGCGTTTCGTTCGCAACCGCATCATCCCTTATCACTGCTTGCCGCGAGTCGACTAGTCGTACCCCTATCATCGTGTAACGATAATAATAATAATAATAATAATAATAATACATTGTTACACATGATATACTATCAGACTAACGATACGGGGGGTGCTAAATAATAACAATAATAATTATAATAAGTGTATCACAATCGTAACGTATTATCACACAACACACATTACTCGTAGTTGGGTCGTAACAACACTGTACCGGAACCGCTCAGGCAAGATGATCGGCATAGTTCGATTAAACGGAGGCATTTTTTATTTTATTTTTTTCAGGTCTCGCGGAATATTTTATCTCGTGTATTTTAGTCGCCAATACAGCAGAAGGTTGGAATAACTCGATGAATACTTCAGCGGTCGGAGTGGATAGTAAATTGCGTTGGATAAAATTCGCGATCGATTTGGGGCATCACGTAATTTGCATCGACAATAAAACTCTGCTATCATTATCGCCGTGCTAAAGATTGCGCACACATAAGTATAACGCATAAGTAGATTTTAATGGCTGAAAGTATATTTTTTTTGCCAATCGTCGAGCACGTAAACTACGAATCATCTCGTAAATATAATCACACCCACCATGGTTTTCTAAAAAAATGTCTTATATTTTTTATTCGTTTTGGTCGGATATCTGTTTCGTCAGTGTAATGTAATTTATGGTTTATTTAAAACGTGTAGTATTTACATTTTCAACATGAAGATATCGAAAACCGATCGTATGCGTATGTGTGTGTTTGTGTAAAATACATCGTGGTGCCGCAAAACTAAATTAAGCCAAATACTACTTAATAATATTTCGATAGTGACATAATAAAATAATTGTATTACAATAAAATACTACATTTAAACTATATTAAAAAAAAAAAAAAAAATTTCTAAGTCCGTTCCAAGACCTACGTTCTACTCTAAATATTTTGTTCGATCTCACAAACCTCCTCAGGCTTCTGTGTTTCCAAAGTCAACTGAAATGATTATTAAACTATTGTTAAGGATATGTCATGATTTTAAACTCAGCCACGCTGACGCGTGATACCCTTATTTGTTAATCACGTCAAAACCTCATTAATATTAAATACAGTATACCTAAATGTATTCTATTCTACAGTTAAAGATATTTTATACTCGTATAAAATCACACGCAATCTAACAACTATATAACAATGTATAATGATGTCTTCTATATTTCTAAAATAAAGGAAAAAAAACCATTAACAACATGTAATTTCAAAACGTAATTTGCCGCTAGTACGTAGTTTTCTGTATGTACAAAATAAAAAAATAAATAGAATTTATATTTGTTTACGTTAACGGTGCACAGGAAACTTTTTACTAAATACATTTTAAATGTATAAATATTATTGAAAGTATAATGAACACGAATTGTTGTACAGCATTGGAACGTACACAGTATTCTATTTCAAATCTATGAAACAAAGATGCATGGTCCAAAAACAAACTGATGCGTTATCGGTATAATATTTTACGAAGGAGTGATAATCTTAACGCCAAGGAATACCGGTAGTAACATAAAAATGTTGTAAACTCGAAGGGTTAGTGCTATAATGCAAACTTTTCCGAACCATGCATGGATGCTTTCAACAAGTCTCCGAAGAAACATAGTATTTTATGACTTATCGCTATCACCGTGCAACGATAAGAGAACACTTCTCGCGTAACAGATCGGTTTTGCCGGTACACAGCAGTCGTACGTGACCAAGAATCTTCTATCTTCTGAACGCTCGGACAACATCAAAGGGATCGGGGGAGGGATACTATTATAAAAATGTTTTACCGACACGAGCGTTATTTGTTCACGTTGTTCCATGCACGTACTACGTAGTATGCTAAAACGACGAGACAACGGGACGCGAATGTGTAATATCGGTGGAACGTAAACGATAAACGACGTATTGTTAATGGTATAGCAGTGTTAGGTGTGCAAAATCGTACCTCGTCCGTTTCGGCAGAAGACCCGGCGATCAGCAGGTCGAACGGTATGGCGGCCACCAGATCGATCAGGAACCATCCGCGGAAATAGTTCAACGCGATCTTGCTGGGCGCCGACACCACCTCGTCGTTTTTGTTCACGTACGTGGTACGGAAGTTGATGGCGATGTCGATTATGAACGTTATATCCACTGAAACGGCGATGATGGTTATTGTTACGCGCGTCAGTGGAAGCCGTCGAATCCCCGATGGCGACCGGTAGAGGGGGTTGACCAAAGCCGTATTGTGCTATACAGAGGCGCATGGGCACCCAGAGCTTAGGGGTCTTTTTTTTTAAACCAAAAAAAGAAGTGACTAAAAGCATCAAAAACTTTTTTGTATGATGACTTTTGTTTAGCCGGAAGATGTGAGTTATTAATTTTAAAAAAAAATCTTTTGAAATGATGGGATGAAAAATAAAATATACCTAATGCAATCGTACACAATTAAGCGTTCATTATTTATTTGAAATTAACATTTTAATATTGCTATTTATCTAATAAGATTTTTCTGCAGTTAAGAATAATTTTTTTTATAGGCAGTCGTATTAATATGTTACAGATTAATATTCAAACTTGTAATAGGTACCTATTATTCGGGGTCTCCAACCAGATAAGGGTCCTGGCCACGTACTCCAAGTGTCCATAAGGTAAAAATAAAACTGTGGTTGGCGGCAGGGAGTGAACGCGGTCGGACCTCGTCGAATCGAACGCGAAATCGGTCGTCGAAAATGTCTACGTCCAGATGCGATGGTTTCGTTTTTTTTCAACGGCTTTCGAAATCCGTGCAAACGATTCGTATAATCTTTGGATACATGATCTACTGATCGTACGACGTTTCCTCCGCAGTTCGAACGATCGTAGTTCATTGATACGTGTTCCAGTCCCCCCCCCCGTCCGGCCGTCCGCCCGATAGACCGATTGGTCGAGGGTTAGCGGGACGCGCGATCCCTTTTAATCGCGGAGGGTGTGTGTGCGTGCGCGCGGGACTCACCAAAAAAGTCGACCACCACCAACGGGTCTTCGAAGCTGAACCTCAGCGGCCGAGGACCTTTGAAGTGGGGCTCGTTCAACAGGAACGCGGCGAAGTACGGCGTGAAGATGGCCGTGTAGATGACCAGCAGCAGGATGATCCAGTCCCAGACCGCTTTGAACGGGCTGTAGTGCAGTATCGTCCACTTGTGGATCTTGGGCGACTGGAGCTTGTACTCGGGCAGTATGTCCGCGCCCAACGACAGTACCTGCAAGAACAAAAACAACGTCAGGCGGTCCAGCGGGATCCAACGGTCGCGCGGCGACCGTGTCCACCGCCGGACCGTACCGCGGTGATTATGGGCGACGCGTTCGGTTCCATGGCGGTGCACCGCGCACGCGTCGTCCGTCACTCGTTCGCGCGTTTTTACGTGTCGCGCGCGTTACGCATTTCTCGTCGCACTCGAAGAAACCCGGACCACTCGGTTCACGTTCGCGTACGCGTGCGCACTATCACGACGTGCTACCGGCCGCAACTGGCACGAGAAGGGACCGAGTGGGCAACGTGCACGATACCGAACCGAACGAGCCGCGGACTCCTGCCGGGCGGAAACATGGCGAACACGTGTGCGCCTCTCCGTGCTCCTCGGTGAACAGATCTCCGGTCGCCCGTACGCTTTTAGTGGCACTTAATCGTGTACACATGTATATATATGTATATATATATATAGATCACGCGCCGAGTAGAAAATAATAACAAAAACAACGATGATCGTAAACAGTGCGCATCCGTACAGGGTGTGCAATAATATTGTTGCGTCTACGCGATGGTGGGTTTCGACAGATGGCGTGCACGGGACGATTTGTACTAAACATATGCATATTTATGCGCGCGCGTCTCGCCCAAAACGCAAGACGATTTTGTTCGTAAGACAACGTTTTGGAACCGAACTCAACAGTGATCGTTACAAACGTTCGACGTCACGGTGCAGTACGGAATGATAATGGATACTTCGAACGCAACGAAAAATTAAGCATAAAATAAGGAACCGTCGACTTTAAAAAAAAATAACAAACACGTTTGTGTTTAATCGTACACCACGTTGGTCCTGCTCGTCCCACGTTTTGGGTTATTACGTTTGATTGTATGCACACACCGTTAACACGAGAAACTTTTTTCCCCCGTTGAAGAACGATGTTATATGTGAACATATCGCAACTATTTTAAAAATGTGAAACACTTGAGAATTCACGCTTTATAACTGTAACACTTTTTATTTTCCGCGGATAATTGGATTTCTTGTTGCACCGAAGTATTCGCAATGACCACGTTCTTTTCGTATATTTTTCATGTACACATACGAATAGAAATAGATATACTCGTTACTGTATAGTCACTGATACAGAACTCGTTCATAAATGTTTTAATCCGATCAGTGATAAGATAAATCTCAAACGCGCACCGCTAACCGGGTACCGGGTTCGTAACTGCATTTCATCGTGCTTATCTTCGGAACATTACGTCCCAGCGATATATTACACGTCGAAATCGTTCAGGACATTCAAATCGATCCGATCGAAACGCAACCGTCGGCAGAAATCTGCAGCGAACCCTAGGCAGAAGCGATACAGACACCCGGTACACGGCATGCGCGTATAGCCGATATGTCGGATGGGCGTGGTATTGTGCAGCACAAGAACAATATGGTTTACGATCCGATATTTACGATTGAACGTCGCGCATGCATGAATTTTATTGCGCATCGTTGTTGTGCGCGAGCGTGTTGCCACGTTTCACTTGCGCACGGATATAGATGTTGTTCCGATCCGCCTACGCGCGTACACGTGAAAATTTCGTAGGATATTCGCATTGATTCCACACCTCACGCTTCCTTTCCGTTGCCAACCCCCTGTTCCCGTCAACGAATTCTGATTTCGATTATGGATAAACGCGATGTCGTGTTTCATCAAAACGCACGATCGTGCGCACATGACGAGCATCCGATAAACGTGTCCGGAAGGTACCAGGGGTGGGTCTAATCACTCATCATGGGAGACGCTAATGGAGAACAAAGAATTCAGTTAGTTGTTTTTTAAATCTATTTACAATTTTAATTTACAGAACATGTTTTGAGTCCTTCGTAAGTAAGTAATTTTTTTTCACAATAGTGACAAATTTTAAATAGTTACATTATTGGTATCTATTTTAATCTGAAATCATTTTAAAAGTATAGGTATATACTAAGTGCTCTGCACGGTCCGTTATTTTAAGGACCAGACCGGACTTCAAATTTTACCAGGGGACCGAAGTCGGACCGGACCACACTTGAACTTTAATCAAAGACCAAAATTGGACCGAACCGACGGCTTCATATTATTTTTAGGCTGGATTGGATCAGCAATTAAATAACATTTAATAAAGTAGACTATGGACCGGACTTTCAGTCCGATCTTACAATATTTTGGGCCGTTTATGGACTGTTATTAGCCCAGACCGTACCATAAGATAAGTTTAGTATTACACCGGACCGGAATATCCGACTTTACAAATAAGTATATACCTAAAGTTGTAGGGTTTTTTCGTTTTATTTGTTTACATAACAATATCTATACTTATATTTTAAGTACCATGATTGAGACCGGACCGGGACCGGACTGAAAATAATTTATTTGATCTGAGGACTGGACCGAACTATTTCTAAAAATTATTGAATCGGAACAAACCAACGATTCAATAATTTTTGTATGTTAGAATCGTACTAAACTAGACCACGGTTCAGTCCGGTCTGGACCAAACTGATTAAGACCGAACCATTCAGAGCACTAGTACCATATATACAAAGTATAATTAAAAACAAAAATGAGCTATTTATATATAAAAAAAAAAAATATGTAAAATAGGTACCATTTCCATCAATCGTTATAATAAATTATTTTTGTGTTTCCGGTGAAGTGAACTATCCGGCATTACGTATAATTATAATAATCGTTGTACAAAACACTTTAAGCTTACGTGCTTTTTACATAATGCGAACTTTTCTCAGGCATTATGTACTTATGCGCACATACTAATGTCCTCAATAACGCTTATACTACCGCAGCGATCAATTTTGTGTTTTATGTTGCTGATACAGTAGTTGGAATTTGCGTAGTGTCTGAACATCAACATGATAATAACGACGGTTTGTATTTAGAAATTCACTCATATTATTATTCAAGAATCGAGTTATTTAAAACGTTGGCTATTCACCAATTTGTGGTGCACTGTCGAACCACCGTCGACCAACATTTAAAAATAAGTAGGTGGATTTTGCTATTCGCATGCTATTTACCTGTTTCCATAATATATTTCAGATTACGGTCTCATGATCTTTTTCAGTGGGCGTAAGCAGAAAAGAGCCAAGAGCCTATTCTAACAGGCTTCCAACTAAAGTATATACAGATCAATATCGGGTAAAATTAATTTGTTCACAATTGTAGTGAACGAACAACGAAAGATTTCGAAATGGTTTGGAAATATAACAAGTAATATTATTAAATACGATGCATTTAAACACGACTTTTCTCTTTATATTTTTATAGTATGTAAAAGAGAATATTAAATTTAAAATTATTTTTACTTCCTCTATAATCGTAATTAAGTATATTGCATATTGTATATGTACACAGTATAATATCTCAACATTTTGTATAGGTACGTCTACATAATTTACCATTATAATAACATATTGCTATTAATTTATTCAGATTATGTATATTGTTTAATATATTCTTATCAAATAAAATTTTAATTTCCCGATTTGAAACACAAATCTCAGTTACCATTTATTTCATAACACAATTTTGTTTATTTTGGAAAACCAAAATGATTAAGATATGTAAAAATGATCAGTTTTGCCTTATAATAAACTTTAGAAACCTTTATGAAGAAATTCTTCTAAGAAGAATCTTCAAAATTATTATTACTTGGTAAATTATTTATTAAAAATTTGGTTAGCATTTTAAAATATATAATCCAATACCATATGTTATTTTTACAAAACGAATAAATTAAATAAAGTTTGACATGATTTCACAGTTTTTTTTTTTTCGATTTTCAATCAAAAAGTTGCTGCATTAAACTTTTAATGCAGTATTTGTACAGGGCGAAATAGCCTTTAACAAATGAAAAAAAAAAGAAAAACTTGTGAGTTAAAATAAGAATTAACATTAATTACATACACTGGTTGTTAAAGTAGAGTAAGTAGAAGATTATCTTCTATATCACGGTTGCGGTCTGCACTCTAATCTAATCTGACCCCATATACGCAGTGATGCAGTATAAATGGATTCATTTTGGTGTCCTCAAAGGCCAAAACATTTTTTTTTTTTTTTTTTTTTTTTTTTGACGATTTGTGTTACGTCTTTGTCGTAGTACAGGTTGATTCGAAAATTTATATTGTAATTTTTTCTTTTTCTGTCATTTCATCGGTGCTCGGAAATAATTGTTTCGAAATCACTTCAACCGTCCCTGTACACGACAGTAAGACTAAAATATACGTTAGGCGGTATCACCAGAGCAACACGGAGAACTGCCGGTCTCCGCGTGGTCACCACGGGTCTAAACCGCAACAACGACAATGTAAGACCGTACGGTTTTCGTTTCTGAACGGAAACACAGCACGATGTCTAGAACATCGGGGACACCGTAACATTTATTAAGAATATCAGACGTGTGCAGCATTACGATGATGATGTACAAGGCGCGGCCGCGTAAACTTTTTTGACGCAATATCGATTTTTTACACATCTGTACCTACGCGTTGTTCAGTGGTCGCTCGTTATTGCCCTCCGAAAACCGAACCGCGCGCGTTTGCAACCGTTCACCGGACGGTCGTAGTCATATTGTTGTTAGCGTGTTTTTTGTTATTGTACCCGACGAGAGACGCTGGACCAGGGGTCGGCAACAGGCGGATCGCGGCACAGTGTTCTAGAAAGTTGATTTAGGGGGACAAAATTAGATTTTTTTGAGTCACTAATTAAACTCAATATATTATTTAATTGAAAGATTAGTTAGCTATTGATTAGATAATATGGAGTTTTAAGCCCGTACGCCACGCCATATAGTGTACAGAAATACCTAATGGTCTATGATAAGGTTTTAAATAACAAAATAAATTGTTGGAGTATATAGTGTGTCATATGTTATGATACACATTGTCCATTGAAAGAACTTCTACGAAATATTTTTCTTTAAACTACTTTATATAGTAACTGAAGGTATGTATGT